GCTTCCCACTCTTCTTGAGTGGGTTTCCCCCCAAAACCCCCTTTCCCACTTTCTCTACACATGTTACACTGATTGTCAAAATCTACTGCAAAATCTAAAAAACTTCTCATCCGAGCTATAGTTGGTGCCCTGGGTAGCCCCGAAATCTGACGAAATGGGTATATATTGCCCGCATTTGAGAAGCATGGATGTCGGTAAACCTGGAATTAGCCCGCTTCTCTCAGGATTTTACAGTAAGATTGGGAATAAGGTGTTCATAGGTTGTTAATGGTATGTCTAGCTTAAACCTTAGGGGTAGATGGGGTGGATATAGATAACGCCTATTACCCAATGAATCAATGTTGCAGAGACAGAGGGAAGGTAGGTATGAATTAATTTCGGGGAGGATAGATTTTGCAAGTAGTAGAGCCTGAAGATCCCCAGCCGGAACTGTGCTTCTCTCTATTTGTACCATAACTTATCCGAGGGGATCAACCAGTGCTGACGCTGATCTAGTAGTGCAGCATGCTAATAGGTATATACAACAGGGAAACCTACTCCCTGTCAGGGCGCTCCCGTGTATGTCCAGAGGTTTGTGACTGACGCAGGGAAAAAAGCAGGCTTCGGATAAGTTATAAACAATATAATTTTATTAAAGACTAACAATACAAACATCAACGCAGTGCAATACTAAAACATAACACAGTGCAAACTATCCAAACCAAACCACCCACAGATAACAAAACATACAATGCAACGCGTCGTCAGGCAGGCCGGGTCAATAAACAGGAGTCAGAACGCTATAGGGTTAAAGCAGGAGAATGGTCAGACAAAGCCAGGGATCAGAGCAGAGGAATGGTTCAGACAAGCCAGGGATCAGAGCAGGAGAATGGTCAGACAAAGCCAGGGATCAGAGCAGGAGAATGGTCAGACAAAGCAGGGATCAGAGCAGGAGAATGGTCAGACAAAGCCAGGGATCAGAGCAGGAGAATGGTCAGACAAAGCAGGGTATCAGAGCAGGGTCAGCAAACGAATCAGACAGGGAGCTAGGAACAGGAAAGGGTAGCAGGAACAGGATACAGGGCCCCAGGAGAAACACACACCAAGGCAGAGTCTGCAGGTCTGGCCATCCCCTTAAATACACCAGTCATAAGCAAGTTTTTTTTGGGGGTGGGGTTTTTTTGGAGTTTTTGCAGGTGTTTGAGATGGCTGCAAGGTTGGTTGAGTCTCTGATTGCTGGGAGGCACCCGCTGGCCAGCCCTGGTACTGCAGCCCATAAGGCAGGTGAGTCCCACCATTGCTGGCCAGTCCATTCCTGACAGTACCCCCCCCCTCAAGGAGCTGGCCCTCAGGACGCTCCAAACAGTCCTAGCTGGGCAAATGTTCCACCGCCCGGGTCTGGTAACTGGCGGGATATCAAAGACTGGCACACACGGGCAGGACTCCGGGCAGCGGGCACACACCGGGCAGGACTCTGGGCAGAGGCCCATCGGGCAGCGGCACACCGGGTAGAGGCACACCGGGCAGAGGCACATCGGGCAGAGCACACCGGGCAGAGGCACATCGGGCCGGACTCCGGGCAGAGGCACATCGGGCCGGACTCTGGGCAGAGGCACATCGGGCCGGACTCCGGGCAGAGGCACATCGGGCGGACTCCGGGCAGAGGCACATCGGGCCGGACTCCGGGCAGAGGCACATCGGGCCGGACTCCGGGCAGAGGCACATCGGCCCGGACTCCGGGCAGAGGCACATCGGGCCGGACTCCGGGCAGAGGCACATCGGGCCGGACTCCGGGCAGAGGCACATCAGGGGCTGGACTCCGGGCAGAGGCACATCGGATCACCAGGCAAAGCAGCAGGCAGTGGGCCACCAGGCGGAGCAGCAGGCAGCGGGCCACCAGGTGGAGCAGCAAGGCAGCGGCCACCAGGTGGGGCGACAGGCACCCGGGCCCCAAGCGGGGCGACGGGCACCGGGCCCCCAGGCGGGGCGACGGGCACTGGGCCCCCAGGTGGGGCGACGGGCATCGGGCCCCCAGGCGGAGCGGCGGGCGCCGGGCCCCCAGGAGGGGTGACAGGCATCGGGCCCCAGGCGGGCGACAGGCATCGGGCCCCCAGGTGGGGCGACAGGCATCGGACCCCCAGGCGGAGCGGCGGGCGCCGGACCCCCAGGCGGAGCGGCAGGTCTCGAGCCCCCAGGCGGAGTGGCGGGCGCCGGACCCCAGGCGGAGCGACAGGTCTCGGGCCCCCAGGCGGAGCGGCGGGCGCCGGACCCCCAGGCGGAGCGACAGGTCTCGGGCCCCCAGGCGGAGCGGCGGGCGTCGGACCCCCAGGCGGAGCGACAGGCACCGAGTCACCAGGCACAACAGTGGGCTCCGAGTCAACTGGCATGACCGCTGGCACTGGGTCAGACATTGGATCGTCTGCTGGACAGCGGGCATCGGGTCACCAGGCATCAGGTCGTTTGGCTCGACAGCGGGCACCGCGTCATCTGGCAAGGCAGTGGGCTCCGAGTCAACTGGCATGACTGCGGGCACTGGGTCAGACATTGGATCGTCTGGCTGGACAGCGGGCATCGGGTCACCAGGCATCAGGTCATTTGGCTCGACAGCGAGCACCGCGTCATCTGGCAAGGCAGTGGGCCTCCGAGTCAACTGGCATGACCGCGGGCACTGGGTCAGACATTGGACCGTCTGGCTGGACAGCGGACATCGGGTCACCAGGCATCAGGTCATTTGGCACTACAGCGGGCACTGCGTCATCTGGCAAGGCAGTGGGCACCAAGTCACCAGGCACGACAGTGGGCTCTGAGTCAATTGGCACGACAGCGGGCACCGGTCATCAGGTACCGGATTGTCTGGCTCAACAGCGGGCATCGGGTCACCAGGTATGACAGCGGGCACTGGGCCACCAGGCATCAGGTCATTTGGCTCGCCAGCGGGCACCGCGTCATCTGGCAAGGCATGTGGGCACCGAGTCCACCAGGCACGACAGCGGGCTCTGAGTCAATTGGCACGACAGCGGGGGCACCAGATCAGGTACGGATCATCTGATCAACAGCGGGCATCGAGTTAACTGGCCTAATAGGATCATCAGGCTGGATCAGTTCATCATGCTGGGTAGAGGCATCAGGCTGAATGGAGGCATCAGGCTGAGTAGAGGCATCAGGCTGAGTAGAGGCATCAGGCTGAGTAGAGGCATCAGGCTGAGTAGAGGCATCAGGCTGAGTAAAGGCATCAGGCTGAGTAGAGGCATCAGGCTGATATAGAGGCATCAGGTGGGTACAGGCATCAGGCTGGGTACAGACCTCAGCTGAAGTGTGGGTGCCGAGGCAGCAGGCTGAACCACGGAAGGCAGGTTCTCAGACGGCAGGCTCACCGGTTTGGATACTGGCAGGATGGTATTGGTTGGAAAGAATTTTTGCTTTTTCTGGTTTTAACTACTGGAGCACTGCAAGTAAACGCAGGTCTGCAAACGAATGGAGCATGCTGGAGACAGAGAAGAGCTGGAGGATGGAACAGAGGAGGAACAGTTGCTACAGAGGGCTTTTTTACAGGGTTAAAGGCAGGATAGGTGCAGTGAGTGGGAACAGGGTACTGACATGTGGTAGATAGCAGGGCAGGAGGAGCTGTTGGGGAATGCAGGAATAGAGTTTTGAGGAAATAGATTAGAAGCAGGACTGGGTTTTTGTAAGCTGACTGCGGCTGGGTGCAACAAGTCTGACCATGTCTGCAGTATGGGTTGAACAAAGCTGAGCTTACACAAAGCCTGTCTGACCAAAGACTGCACTGCGTTTTATACAATCCCTTAATACCTGTGGTGAACATGCAGCATAATGCTCCAAGAAGCAATCCACATCATCCTCTAATAACCATACCATGGACTTTACCTGGTCGGCACTAAATGGCGGCAAAAATTCATCCCTGCATTCTGGGTTAGGTGGTTACCAGATGAAACCAACTCCGCACAAACCTGAATCAATGGCTGCACCTCAGGAGAATTCTGTGCCCTGATCTACTAGAACATGAGCGAGCCGTATACATTTTAGCAGTTCATCCCTGGGATACTCCTTCAGAGTCTGATAAGCATACTCTCTGTCATCAAACACTAGCAGATATAAATACACAACCTCATCAAGATCCATCCTTCCCATCAACAAACCAATGATGGCTTCCCTGTTCAGCCACTTTCTGGTCAGGATTGGCCTTGGTGTAATGTCAGGGCTCCCGGGTATGACCAGAGGTTTGTGACTGACGCAGGGAAAAGCAGGCTTCGGATAAGTTATAAACAATATAATTTATTAAAGACTAACAATACAAACATAAACGCAGTGCAATACTAAAAACATAACACAGTGCAAACTAACCAAACCAAACCACCCACAGATAACAAAACATACAATGCAAGCGTCGTCAGGCAGGCCGGGGGGTCAATAACAGGAGGTCAGAACGTATAGGGTTAAGCAGGAGAATGGTCAGACAAAGCCAGGGATCAGAGCAGGAATGGTCAGACAAAAAGCCAGGGATCAGAGCAGGAGAATGGTCAGACAAAGCCAGGGATCAGAGCAGGAGATGGTCAGACAAAGCCAGGGATCAGAGCAGGAGAATGGTCAGACAAGCCAGGGCATCAGAGCAGGGTCAGCAACGAATCAGACAGGAACAGGACCAGGAACAGGGTTAGCAGGAACAGGATACAGGGCCCAGGAGAAACACACACCAAGGCAGAGTCTGCAGGTCTGGCCATCCCTTAAATACACCAGTATAAGCAGTTTTCAGGTGTTTGGCTGGCTGCAAGGTTGAGTCTCTGATTGCTGGGAGCACCCGCTGGCCAGCCCTGGTACTGCAGCCATAAGGCAGGTGAGTCCCACCATTGCTGGCCAGTCCATTCCTGACACCCCCCCTCTAGATTTATGTCTAATGAGAGCTGAAAACGGGATTCTGGCCCCCCCCGAAACATATTTTTTCAACGCTATATCTATTTTTATTAAAGTAAGAGTGAGGGATGAGTATTGGAATCGTTCTAAAATAGTATAAAGGTTTAGGTAGAATCAACATCTCAAAGGCCGCTAGTCTGCCCACCACGAGAGCTCATGTTTTTTCCAGTTACTAATAGATCTGTTACTATCACTTGGTATAATTCCTCATTATTAGCCTTGAACATGCTAGAAGAAGGGGAAGACACCTGGATACTCCAGACGTGTCGTGGACCAGCTGTACAAAAAGTTATTTTTAAGACATTTTAACAATTCTTTTGGTATATTTATAGGGAGTGCACACGGTTTAGTAACATTGAGTTTTGTAACAGGAGATGTTGCTAACATTTGGAGTGTAGAGAAGACTGCTGTTAATGAATTCAATGGGTCCGTTTATGGTAAGTATGACATCATCTGCAAAGAGGCCAATTTTGTGGAAAGATTTGCAGTTCGTATACCGCGAGATCAAGGGGTTCGCTCTAATTGAAGTCCCTAAGGATTCCTTCACCAGAGAAAAGATAAATGGGGGAGAGGGGACATCCTTGTCTGGTTCCATTTGTGATAAGAAAGGGGTCTGACAAGGCATTGGATGTAAAAACTTGTGTGGGGGCACTGTATATAATGCCGTAATGGCTGATTTGATATAGCCATTGATACCGAAATTGTAAAGAGTAGAGTCGAGATACTGCCAATGAACTCTATCGAATGCTTTTCAGCATCCAGTGCCAGGAAAACAGTTTGCGATTTACGCAGTTCAGTAATCCGCAGTAGATTAAGTACTCTACACGTGCCATCCGCTGCTTGTCTACCTTTAACGAACCCTACTTGATCTGATTGGATAAAGAGAAGGAGTCACTGTTAACAATCTGCTAGCTAGAATTTTAGCAGAAAATCTTAGATCCGTAATGAGTAAGGATATTAGGCGGAAATTTGGGAGCAGTTTGGGGATTTTCCCGGTTTAGGCAGGGTGACAATGTTTGCTGTAAGCATCTCTGAAGGAAAAGTAGTATTTTGTACCGCCTGCAAGAACACCTTCTTAATATGGGGTAATAATATATCTTGAAATTTTTTGTAGTATTCTGCAGCAAGTCCATCTGCCTCAGGCGAAATCCCCTTCGGTAGTGCTTTAATTGCGGCTGTTATCTCATTATCTGATACAGGTTGATTTAGAGTATCCAGCTTAGACTGTTCCAATTGAGGTAGGGACATATTCACAAAAAAATATTGATAAGGTCAGGGGTAGGTTGAGATGTATGTGAACCATCTTTCAGATTGTATAATTGAGTATAGTAGGTCCAAAAGGCCGCTGCGATTTTATTGGGATGAAGACCTTTTCCTTAGATTGAGGTCCATCACCGAGGGGCATTTTAGTTTTGGCCTGTTTGACATTTATGTAGGGAAGCCAGCAATTTTCCGGCTTTATTACCTTGGGTATAATAATTAGTTTTGGCTCTTTTGAGGAAATATTTCTTGTTGGAGTAATAGGATTTTTTTAAGGGCTATTCGGTTAAAAAAGAATCAACCCTAAGAAAACCTTGCGGAGCTGGTAATAGGGTAAAATCTTTCATAAAGATTGTTCCCCGGCGTTGGGCGCCCATAGAAAATACCTTTTGCCCCCCCCCCCCCCGCGGGGACTGGCCCCAAAAACCCTAAAAATTTGTGGTGAAGCTTTTGAATCCCCACATGTGTCCCCTTCTAAATCTTCATGATTTTTTCCCTCGGCAGGGGGAAAAAGGGTTTTGGGTTGCATTAGGGGCATTAAATTCATTCGTGTAGAGAACATTATTTAAAGCTAAAACCTTTTATTATGTATCTTCCTTTTCCCGGTAAATCTCCGGGGAGTGGAGGGAAAGGGTTTTTAGAGTTTTAAAGGTATTAAAACCCCACATTTTTTCACGGGGGTATTGTGTGAACACCTGGGGTCAATTTTGGGGGTGAGCATCGTGGGGTTTTATTTGTAAAAAAATGTGTCTCTTGCACACGGGGACAATATCCCCATGTAATTTCTGTGCCTTTTTCCACTCTACTCATTTGTAAGGGCTATTGAGCCATGAGCATTCTTAGATCAATATTCGGTCCATACAAAAAGTATGTAACATAGATAATGCTGCTCCCATTAGTGGTCAAAAAAAAACATTAGCCCCCTTTATACTAACCTGTATGAAGCCAAAAATTCATTCAGCTCTCTTTGATTTGGATCATGGGCCCCAAACCAGAAATTGTATATTGTTACCCCTATAAATTCCTGGGTTTTAAAGCAGTTCCCGTTACTCTGTTGGAAAAACGTAGAAAAAACCCCAGAAAAAAACAAAACATAAACAATAAAAAGAAATTTTTAAATAACTGCAAGTAAACCCCAAATCACTTGACTTTGGGGGAATACCCGGGAAAACTATGAGAATGACGCTCGGCAATTTTTAAAGCACTGCTGGGTAGTGAGCGCCCTCTCAAGGCATATCAAAGCTAGAAGTACTAAGGCTAATCAGCTACTTTGTCCCATTTGAAAAAACTTTCTTGGGGGAAGATTTAGTGGCGTTGATTTTCTTTGCGGGTAAAACCCCCCTTTCTTCGCCAGCGGAAAACCCTCCTCCTCCGGTGCAGTCAGTAAAACGATTGTCCCGTGTAATCAGCAATTTAGGGGAAAACCCATTGATATTTTATATTTTTGAGAAGTAATTTGAAAAGGTGATTAATTTTTTACGAGTGTGTTTTATGCGAGAGATCCGCAAATGGGGGATATCCCATTGTAGGGGCGGAGTAGTGGATTGTGTTTTTGCGAAGATCATCAATTCCTCCTTTATTGATAGAAGGGATTTAGCGTAATGTCCTAGGAACTTTGATTAGGAGAAGGGAAAGGCTTCGCACCCTCTTTTGCCCAATATGGAATTTGAAACGTAGATTGTCACCTTCAGTTTGGTGGTTAGGGAACAGCGTGCTTTTTTTTTTGAGGGCTGCTGGTAGGTTAGTCCCCTTGTTGTGCAGGGCTTGTCTGTTGAGAGCTGGAATGGGCTCTCCCCTTGCTGCCTGCTGTGCATCCCCCATGCAGGAGAGACAATGGGGATGGGCCCATCTTGGGGGGGGGCCACCTACCCAGAGTGAAGAACTCTG